ACACTATGAAAGGATGCTTTTGTTGTTCCCACAGAGCATAATTTATTTTTTAATCATCGTTCTGAGAACAAAAAAGCTAAATATCGCGTCTTCTGTCACAATTTTAAAAACATAATATATAGTTATGTCTGAATGTACACCAGCCATATTGCATTTAGCTCTGACCATAAATAGCCAATCTTAGGTAAGAAATTCGGTATGCCATCTGAGGATTGATATTTTACTGCGAGGAAAATTTTTTTTGTATAATGTATGGTATTTAAATAGCAAAATTTTCAAGCGCCTTAAATATGTTATCTCTTTTTGAGTTTTAAGAGAAAGAATCAAAAATACTATTTCGTGCTATTCTTTCATTTGGCCTGTACTGTAATAAAATACCCTAAAGGATCCATCCTAGACCACTATATAAATACTTAGACTAGAGAGTTGTGGAGTTTTATTGTGGGAAAATGATTTTTTGTAATGCGTTTAAAAATGGCCGTCGGAAGGTGAAGTGGAAACAACGAAAACAATGGCTTCCATGTTATAAAATACTTTTATCACCTTCGGTGTTCGTATTAAAGGTTTTTGATCTTTAAGAAATTTTTATAAAATATTTAAATTATAAGATTATATTTCAGGAAAAAATAACCATATTATATACGTGTAGATAAAAGAGCTTATGTAATATTCGCACTAACTCTATGCATTTGTCAAATTTCGAGTAGAAGTCTTGGCCTTACTGATACTGATAAGATATAAAATGAAGGAATCTGTCATGACATACAGCGTCATATGTTTTTGCTTTCGTTTTCATACGTTCGCGTCCCTCCAGGTGACGCATAAGCCCAGGAGTAAATAGTCGCCCATATGACGCATATTCAAATTAATTGTTTTATATAAAACACTTATAAAGCATTAACAAAACGGTTAGTATCTATGTTGATTAATGGCTCCGGTTGCAACCGTTATATAAATATGTCGTAGATGCGGCAACAACAGAACTAATTTCTGTTTAGTGCAACATATCTGTTTCAGAAACCTAACCTTATTATTATTCTATTTATGCCCGATTCTACAATGCAAGTATAAAAGCCAGTATAATTATTCTACTGATAACCTATACCCCGATTTATTCCAAGTATAACTGGTTGTCGGTTTTACAATCGTTTTTTATAATCGGTATAGTTATTCCAAGTATATCTCCTTGGTAGTTCCAATGAACTAGCATTTTGACATTTGACATTTTGAAAGGCGGATATTATCTGTGGTATTATACACTATAACCTGACTTTCAGCTCTGTTTTCAGTAACGTTTTAGTGGTTTTCATGGGTAGTTCTTTATCTTTAGCGGTCAGAGTAGCGGTTTCATTTCATTTTTGTTTCTTGAGTGTGTGGTTTGCGAGCGAAAGCTAATATAAGTATGGAGAAAAAACTTATTCCTGGGATATACCATCAAACTGGAAGAGATAACTTACACCAGGTTTATACTTCAGATAAATTTATCGGTTGTATTGTAGAACGCAATAATGAGCAGTTTTCTAAGGTATAGCTTATTCTAGGTTTATACTTGAATTGTAGAATTGGCCCTTAGGATATTTTAACGGAAAGCTATTTGAAGCTTAAAAGTTCTAGGGTCTTGGGGAAGCATATTAGGAAAGCGATCATTTACATTATATTTTTAAATAAAGCCCTTAGCGCCACATGTAGTACATTAAAAGACACAGCCCACGTTCTAATATTGTTTACAAGCTTTGCGTTCTTTTCTGCATTGACTATATCCTCAGAATGTTCCTCATTCTCTCGTAATTCATCTAGCTCTATTTCCCAGTTATTTATTTCTTCTTCGGGATCCCTCTTCTGAACCTCGTTAATAAAAGCATCATTTTCAGTGGAGCTACTTCGTTCATCAGCAATTGAAGAGAAAACGTTTTGTTCACTTGAGTCTTCTTCCTTTACAGAGAGATCAACTGTTTTACGAACTTCGGTAGCTAGGATATTCTGGTAACACTTTTTTGCCCTTCTGTAAAACGCGCCACTTCTTTTATGTTTTTGCTTCTTTATGCTGTAGTATATCATGACAAGATCAAAGTAGAAAGTAATGGCGTGCAAAAATGTCTATACGTTTTATAAATGTATTATCAAATGCTTTTGTGTCATCAGAGTTATTTTTTTCTTTTATGATTATTCCATTAGGTTTTTATTATGACAGTGTTTGTATTAATTATATAACCATTTTTTAAAGGTATTGTCTGAGTAAAATATGCTGTTGTCGGCAATAATATGAGAAAGAAAACTTTTATAAAATAATTTTATAAATATCTCGCATGACTTTAATAAAACAATTTTATATATGTTCGCAAACGAATGACCTAGTGTTGAGTAACAGCGGTACAAATTTATTATAAAACAAATTTGTTCGGTAAGGTAAAATGTCGTATAAAATACATTGGATAAACGTTTATAAAACAGAATTAAAATTTGTCGTAAGACTGTTCCGTATTTTTGCTTTAAGAACGTTCTTACGACTAACTTATAAAGCAAAATCATTTTAAAAACTAAAATATTTCACTTGCAATTTTAATACAACCAAATGGTTTTTGAAGAGAAGTAATAAAGTAATTATAAAACAGAATAGTACCGAAAGTTAAAAATTATAAAATAAGTGTGCTAGTTGGGCTGTTGATACTGTGCTGAATTTCAGAGTCAATATTTGCCTTTTCCGAATCAAACTGCCGAGGTAATTAAATTCCGATACATATTCCAACGATCATACCTACGAGATGATCAGTCTGTGGAGAAAAATCGTGACTTTAATATCTGCATCATTGTTTCGGAAGAACATCTATCGCAATTTTTATAGATGCAGTTTCACGCACTATTATAATCAGTTGGATTTGCCAGTCACTGAAGGGAGAGGGTGACCTAAGAAGAGAGAAGAAGAAGTGGACATTGAAATATTGTAGTGTCAGTTATATTGTTTAATACAAATTAGTTAATGAGTTCTCCAAATACAACGCCTAATGGCTAGGTATTTGAAGAAAATTAATACAATTTTGAGTTTAAATCTCACGGAAATCAAGAACAATCTATCAATATTTGTAAAAGAAGGCCCCTAGGTATTTTTTGGGGTTTAAATAGTTTATTCAGGACAATTAACAGCTGTTTTCAGCTTGAACTTAAATAATGTGCTTAATAATGGTTAATTATTATTATAAGCACAATTATAGATAATGCAACCATATGCAAAAAAGCAACCATTACAAATAATGCAATACAAGTTTTACTACTAAACAATCGAAGTAATATTAAGATACCTTATAATATTATAAGTATTTTTATAAAAAATATAATAGCATTTCCTTAGGTTGAAATAATAATAACATATTGTTAATTAGATTTCTTCTTTGTGGTTTTATAGGTCGGCCTCGAAGATGAATCGAATTTTTGCCTGCCAAGAATTTTCCATTCGTGGCCAGTGAACCTCATAGTGAGTCCTAGACCCATCCTTAGATTAAAGACCCACCCACTGACAAATTCCGGCCCATGATTAAAGGCTTGGCAAGGGCGCAGGTAAGTTTCGGCACAGTACCTGATATTTCGGCCTTTTCATTAGTCAGCTGGTTCTCTAGTTCGTTCTTTTATTACTTTTCTGTACCTATAGAAAGTGAACCAATACAGTTAAATAGGAAAACAGTATTGAGCGTTGGCAATCTTTACAAAGTAAGACGATTAGGTAAACATTCCTAGAAATTCATAAGATGCCGCTAAAGTTTCAGTCTTTTTTTAAGTACATGCCTTTGTTTTTAGAATACGTACTTACTTCACATACTTTGGGATACTTGAAGAAATTACTTAAACGTAATTAGTATCGACAATGAACTTGTAACTAAATAGGTACTATCTTGAGCTCTTCAGAGTGATTATAGTGGAGTGCAACGGAAATGGGTAATTTATTTTGTCTTGTTTTTGGCCAATTAATCAGAGTGGGTTTAAGCTAGAAATAGAAGCAAAAAAAATCCAAAAAAATTACTTTTAAACAATTTCAATCGGTTTATAGTTTACATGGGTAGGTATCATTCAATTCTAGAAGATTTGTAGATTGTCTGGGAGGAGGGAAATTAATCACCGCGATCTTATAGATCTATTGTGTCCTTCTTTCTTGAGTTATAACTCATCCTACAGTCTCAGGGCTTTGACAAAAGGTAGTATCGGAGTCGGTTTTACAGAGATTAGTTCTCCATCTCCGATATCAGCCGTATTAAAGTTTATAGCAACAATGGTTGTCGTCTCGGCACATTCAGTAATGGGGTGTTCTGGTGTTTTTCCATTTTCTCCACTGAATCTGCATTCGCCGTTGTTTCGCAGCTTCAATCCACTGAGGTGTCCATTGAGGAGACAGTGTCGTGACAATCCGAAGATTATTCTTACTTAAATCAAGGAAAATCTTTGATTTTTCTCGTTCTGAGAAATTTCTTCGAGTGTCTTAAACTGTTGGATGATTCCCATTCCAGGTTTCGGATTACGGATGGAGTCTTCCAGATTCTTGGGGTCCGCTTCCAGTTGATTTCCACTTGGCGTTAGTGGAGTTTTCGCTCCTTTTCTAGAAAGATTGTTTGCTTTTTCATTACCTTCTATTCCTTGGTCGCAACCTAATTTAGATATAAATCTCGAATGATGACCGTCCCCTTGTAATGGTATACAGAATCCGAAGTTCAAATCTTATTAAGAAAACCAGTTTTGGACCTTATTCTCAACAGTAGGTTATCGTGCATAATAAAATTCCCGAGCAATAATAATAATTTAAATAGCTCAAGAAGCAATGACTTTGACTTTAGAAGTACCGAGCCGGGCGAGCTTACGTAATTAACCCATACGATAATCGCGTTCGCTTACAAAGTAGCGGCTTTGGTAGCGGCACGGCGGCCCCGCTCCCCCTCCCGGCCCCCTCGGGCGATTTAAATGTTAAACACCCGCTGCCGTGTCGTCATAAACGCACCGTAAATAATTAGAGCGCCGCCGAGATTCGGCTTACGCAGTCGGCCATCCTCGACGGGTCCCGACCGCCAGTCGCCAGTCTCTTCGTGACGTAGTCGCGGCATAGACGTTCCTGCAGACAGACGGTCCGAAGCGATGTCAGGAAAATCGATTTCCTACCCCCACCACCACGGCGGTGGCTCAGCCGACACGACGGCCGAGCGCAGACAGCACCAGTCGAGGCCCGAACTCAGGCCACAGAACACAACTATGGCAACGTGTTATCCCGTGTCTTATGAGCTGACATCACCAGCTCAACGGACAGTGCCAGTGCCTCCCGTGCAAAAAGACTATTCCCGGCCGTTACATGTGGATTGCAGTGTGGAGTACGAGCTGCCGAACGCGGCGAAACCGCCCCAAGGTGTCCGGAACGAACCGCTGCTCATGATCCATCCCTGCTATTTCCGCAAGATCGAGAGCCAACGACGGAGCCCCTTCATCAACAACCTCCCCGCTAGGCCGGCGACGGCTTTGAAAAGGAGAGCTCCCCGAGGACAACAGCTGCCTCAGCAAGTGCCTGTCCAAGCAGCTCCGTATCCTGTTCAATACCAGACCCAGGATCGGTCCTTATGGGATCCACAACCACCCATGGCTCAACCGTACTGCAAGCGAGAGATCTTGACTTCAGCCTGTGCGATGTACAGCACCCCCGCATCGAGTCGCGATTCCGGCCACTGGACTGATCCGGATTCACCGGATCGGTCTTCGGAGGACAAACACATCCTGTCCGGCAAGTACCGGCAGTACCTCAGGGCGCACCGGCTGCATCCCTACGTGAGTTCGGCTATTCCGCTGGCCTCCACCTTTCCCCATCAGATTCAGCAAGTGTGCTACAATGTGTGATCGCTGTGATATGTCTCTTTGCCGGTCGACGGCTGGTTTTAGTGGTTTTATCTGCTCTTTTTGTGATAATAGTGTGTAATTGTGCCGCCGCTGGCCGCAGATGGTGGCGCAGGCGTCCCGACGTCCCGACGGGCGTGGTAGTAGTGATCCAGATGATACATCAGCTGTGCGAGTGTTTATCTTCGGCTAATCGCCCAGGATACTTTGATTTATGTGGATTAGTGAGCCTATTTGTCTCTGTACAACGTCAAGAGGTGTGGTATCTGCGACAAGTTTGCATTTTCTCGTTCTTTGGTAGAGATTAAGACTGTACCGAAAGTACACTTTAAATCCTTGCGAAGAAATATAGCTTTAATATTATTCCAATTCGAAAATGTTTAAAAAACATACATGTCTCAAAGTTACACTTCGGCAGAAAGGCCATTCCATTCTATAATTTATTATTACAGTTTGTTTCAAATCTGGTAAAATATAAAAACACTGAATGCATGGATAAAAACATACATTTATTAGTAAATAATACTTTTACCAAATCCAGAACGAACTACGATCAGAATTATAGTTTAGATCTGCTTTAAACCGAAGTAAAAACCTGTCTCCGACACTAAAAAAATTCTGTAAAATCAACGAATTAAATTTCTCTGTTTAATTGAACTTTATTAGTTAATTTTTCGTTGTTTTGTTGATGTTTTTTTTGTAAATATATATCCAACCATTTCATGTAAAAATTAGAATCCACAAAAATAAAGCTTTAATGTTCATACTCTACACATGTCGTGTGCCATTTTCTTTGTAAATTTCGATATCTTATTAATTTCAGATATGTGTGTGATTACAAAAAATATTTAAATAGATAACATCAAATTACTTCTAATTGTATTTTTATATTATGCCAATTCCGCTGTGCGGGCCAAATCATTCTCTGGCAACTCGTCTCAAAGTTTAATGTATCCAATCGGGAAGAATCAAATCACCATCCGTTCGTAAATGTTAAGCATCTGGAATGACAAGAAAATCATTTGGATGAGAAATTGCCATTACTCTATTTTCAGTCGGATGTAAATGCCAAATGCCATATTACATCAATAGAAATTGAAATATTCCATTGCGGTACATACAAAATTTCTTGTACATGTATTGCTTTCAAAAAATGCAATAATTTAGGGTTTATAACACGCCAGAATCGAAGTTTGAGTTTGTAATGAAAACAACTTATTATAAGTTAATAATTGAAAATGCGGATGTTTCTAACTATTAGTTATAATTTAATTAAATGAAACTGTCGCAAACTACTTCCTATTAGCAATTATTGTGAGGATCTAATTTCAGGTAAGTCCAATCATTTATTAACTTTTTATCCTGGTTTATAACAGGGTGCAAATATTTAAATTAACTTGATTAATTAAATAAAAAAAGTCAACAAAAACTTTTGATAAATTGAAAAATAACTGTGAAAGTTATAAAAAAATTTCTATAAAGCTATAAACATTATTCTTATAAACAAATAAACCCTATATCTATCCATGAAGTACAAAGTTACACTTGCTGTTGTAACATTTAAATAATTTTAAAAAATCGAAAAATAATAATTATTTTTCGATTAGATTAGGTTGAACTTTTATGTTATAAATTTTACAATTATTGTAAAATTTATAACATAGAACACGTATACCTACTTAACATCTATTCATCTATCAAAATTGAGATTAAAATGTTGGGCCGATTTTTGAAGTTATTTTGTGTGAATCCATTTAACTTCTAAATGGCAGAGGTTTATTTTGAACTCGTGAAGTGACAGTAATTCTGTATTCGAATACATTCAATTCGTAAACTCTAATACTGAACTAACTTCTTCTGGTGTCAGAATATATTTTTATTTCCGAAGGCTATAATCAATATCAAAAAATATGCTGGTGTCAAAAAAACTGTTTTATATCTTTTTTGAAACAACTTTATGTTGATCAAGCCAACTTCTGTCTTTTAGTTCATTCCAAATTTGTATCGACAAATTGTTCAGCAGTAAGTACTTTGCACTCCGAACATTAGATAATACTAATTTTATTCCCAACTTAAGACAGTCTTGGTCATTTTCCAAAAAATTCCTTTGATCTAAGCAGGCGACTTTTTTTGAGGAAATCGAGGCATCGGCAAAGTTTACAGAATAAAATATATCGGCGACCGATGCGATGTGGAAAAACGACACGCGTCGTAGAAATGTTAATCGATATCGGGCAGAGTTACGAAGATTTAGCCATTAGAAAAAAACGATTAAAATTAAAAAAAATCTTGATTTTTTGCACACCCTAGTTTATAATTACCTTGTTGTGAAGTTAAAGATAAACAATAATATCATTAAGTCCTGAAAATCAAATTGAAAAAGAAGTTTTTTCAAAAGTTTCTAATAACAGATTTAATCTTGAACAGATTCAGTCTATTTTCTGAATGAACTAAAAAACTTATACTTACGTTATCGAGAAATAAATCTTTTTGCAATAAAATCCCATTTTCTCCAGCAGTCATAAGTTCATTAACATATTTATTTTTAGTAATAATTGCTTTTAGGAAAAACGTTAGAAATGTTTGTTCAGCATTTAGAATAATATTTAAACACGTGGAACATCGTCATATTCTTCTATTCCGAGAAAAAATACAATTATAGAAGTCATTGTAATTAATACAGAAACATCCGGCATTTTATTAAAGCGATTGGTGTAACGACCTCACAATTAAAATTTTATTATGCTAAAAGATTCGTCATACATATAGCACATATTTTTATTTCTTTTCATTATTTCTTATATGAGAAAAGTCATATAACCTTTTATAGTTTGTTTTTCATGGGTTACCCCATCAGACTGTACCTAAATCTTCGTCTAATGGAAATAAATTAGCTTATGACGGTGCAGAAGCTATTAATTAAAAAAGTTTAATTATGAATTACATCAGCCATTCAGACCAAGATGGAATCTAGAGGTAATCAATTTAAGAAAGTTTTTGGAACCGTCGCCTAAGTATAAAGTTAAAATTTGCTTATTACTTTGAGAACATCGTTTTCTTATGAAGTTAGTGCGATTTCAGACAGTTATTGTGATGAATTTGACTTATTTATTTGAATTCCATTAACTGGTTCTCCTGCATTAACCGGTTTTTAATCTTTATTGACCTTCTAACATAAACTACTTCACAATCTTTTGGAGAGATATTTTATTAACAATTCATATGGATTATTTTATATTTTTTGGTATCTTTTTATGTTAAAATAACAAAAAATATATAAATTTACATTTTTGAACATTTTTTTGATTGTTTTTTTCAAATTTGAAATACTGGAACTCCAATAAAATCTTACATTTCAGTATGTATATCTTTTTTTCTTACAGTTCAGTATGAACATTTTATTTTTGATGGAATTTTGATCTTTGATACTTTAGAAAGAAAAAGTTTTCAACCAATCAATTTTGATATTATCTATACGTTACATAACATTAAATTGATTATTACAACTTTTTTTTCAAAGGTCTCAAAGACTTCTTATATTTCCATTAAGAGTGGTGCGACCCGCCTCAGTTTCCGTTTAGTGTCCAGGTTTTGCACGCATAGGCCATGACTGGTAGTACACATTGGTCGAATGTTTTCTTCTTTAGATTCTTCTTTAGATTTAGATCTTGTATTATAATATTATATTTTGTAAAAAGTTTAAAAATTTAGATTCTTCACTTTTTCAAATCAATCATTTTCATTTCCAAAAAAAATTCAAATAATGAATTTTCCAAAACCATACATGTCTGTAAGTATTAAATTTAAACAGCAGTCAAGGACAGAACCGGTATTATTTTGTAATTGTTAAACTAAAACTCTATTTCATCAGTAATAACCAGATTCAGGTCAAGCAATTTGCTCAGTCTTGTTTAAATTTGATTAAAAATCCCCATTTTCTAAAAACATGGTTGCTTTGAGCATAGGATTAGTTGCCATATAAAAACCTTAATAAAAAAAGGTCATCAAATACTTGTACAATAATTTCATCTTATCTGAGAATCTTGAAACTTCATTTTTGTATCAAATCTTTATCTTATTACATTTATTTAGTACTTAAATTAATAAAATTACTTATAAAATTGTTATTTTTGTGTTGTGGAAATTCTGTTATTAATATTGTTTCTCCGAAGTACTTTATCCAAATAAAAAATATCTTAGAATATGTCATTGCTAATGATTAATGTAAAATATCAATTTAATTGTCCATTTCTCATAACTGCCTCTCTGAAATTGCTCACTGATAAAACTAATAACATTACATTCAAACAAGATCTATACGCTTATCAAATTAATTGTTGTTATTTCTGAGTCATTTAAACTGCCTATCATAACAAAAAAACAAAAAATGTGTTAATTATTTGCTTTAGGTTTACTTTTATCTTTTTTTTTTGTTTTGTTTCTCGGTCTCGCAACAAAACGATGTTCTCATTAAAATTTCCCCTTCGCGTTTCGTTCATGAATAAATATGGCTTCCATCTCGGTCTGCGACTGAAAACTGTCAATTTAATCAAGTTGGCCTTGGCCTTTTAAGTTCTGAACACAGGGATATGTAATTATTAGTTATAAATAACAAAAGGACTTAAATAATCATATTTTTTTAGTGTATTTGATATATGAATCATATATCAAGTTAATTTATAGTGGCATTAAAGCTCGGCATATGGTTCTCATAACATTTAGATCATTTAAATTTGTGAAATTTAATGTGAAAGTACGGAAATTACTTTTATAGTGTGTTTTGCCTTAGGTTACTAAACCTTTTCATTACTCTAATTAGATGAAAATATACTTTGTATCTGTGGTAGGTTTAAAAACCGTTTTAGCGGAAAGAACTTGTCCCTGTTTCTAAAAGTATCATAAAAAGAGAAAATGAAGCAAACCAAAGATTACTCGATAAATATGTTCGTTTTTAGCGTGTTGCAATTTTTATATTTAGTTTGATTATTTATAATTATATCGTGTGATTCTTAAAAGTGGCTCACCCCTATAACTTTTTTATTTATCCAGATAAAAAAACGAGTTTTGGTACGTTAGTATATAACATAAATCACTATTGATTGACGTATTCAATTGTTTTCGGTCACTTCCTGTTTCACCGGAAATAACTACAAATTTTGATTTTAAATTTCACTCTCGGTATTTTTTTTATTCTATTCAATAGAAAATGACAGTCTGAATAGCATGACATATCATATGTCAACTATTGACATTTTCACATATGGTTTACCTGGAAATTGAAACATGGGGTTCATAACAACAATTTGACTCGAAATACCAAGTGTTTGATACTAAATTATTCGTTAAAAAATGCTTTTTTAAAATATACCACCCTCGTTCCATTTGAAAGAATTGAGATATGATTAAAAATGCGATTTGGGCATCTTTAACCGACCAGGACATGACAAAAAAAAATTAGACCAATCAAATCTAGTTTTCCAACGCTCCTTGATTAAGAATGAGTGTTTTTAACACAGCCATAGCACTCTAGATCGAAATTATTATTAAATTATAATTTTTTTAAGCGAAAATATAAAAAGTTGACATATGATATGTCATTTTATTTAGGGTGTCATTTTCTATCGAACAAAGTAAAAAAATACCGAGGGTGTCATTTAAAAATAAAAAATAACAGTTGTAGTGCCAAGAATAAAAGTGATGGTCATTTCCAGTGAAAGAGGAAGTGATCGAAAACAATTAAATAAGTCATTCAATCCTAAATTATGTCACATACTAACATACCAAATCTAGTTTTTTATCTGAAAAAAATAAAAAGTTATAGGGGTTAGTCACTTTTAAGAAACACCCCGTAAACTAAAAAATTGTGCTGAGTTACTACTGGTTTAATTAAAAAAAAATTTAAATGTCTGTATATAATTAATTATTCAAAATATGTAGGTATATTGTTCAGTAGTTTAAGTCCAAAATTGAAAAATATATTTTTTCATACATACGTCATTTCATAGGCCAAAAACATTATTAAGGTATTAAATCTGTTAGTAAGTTGTTTTCATTTTTAAATGTGAACTTTAAAGAGTTAAAAAGTAGGGTTATAACCTCGTTTTAAACTTGTTTTAAATATTTCTTTAACCATATAAAACATGTTTAAATCTTTGTTTTAAATACGTTTGGTGTGGAGGTATACTGGAAATAAAAAAAGCAAAAAAAATATTTCTTTGTAACTATTTATATACACAATTTACAAAGTAATCACCTCAACTTAATATTGCAACTCATTATAATATAAAAAATACCTAACTCTGACATCAGAACCAATAAAAAACACGGTAGTTAATCACGTAAACCTATTATTTTGTGCTATAACTCGGAGTATTACCTACCATTAAGTTCTCTAAAAATCGAATTAATTTTTGACCTCCAACCTACTTAATTTTGAATGACGTTTACACCATGTAATTTAAGACAGAGTTCAGAACAAGTAGTTTAAAGAAAATTTAAACATAACCCCGACTTTTTTGTTAAAATTCTTTTTAAAACAGTCAAAGTTGTTTTAAACAAAAAAAAACGCATGTTTCTGTTCAAACCCTGTAAAAAAATGTAAATTGGAAGTGACTGAAGAATGTCGTTTGGAATATATCTATGCAGTTAATCCAGTAATTTGTGTATTATATAGGCATAATAAAAATATTCTTTTTCAATGAATCATTATTATGAGACGTAAGGTTATCTTTTCTAGACCTTTACGTTGTTCGTTCTGATGTCCCCGAAAGTGCTTATATCCTACGTCTTTCATTAGATATAATAGGCTTAGACTTTGTAAAATATAAAAATGAAATTCAAACTGAACTTATGGCAGAATATTACGGGTCTTTTACACTAGAATTGTAGCGAATTACTAAATGTAGACAATATACATAATATACGCGTCGATGGATGTATATCGAAAATCGGCTTTTCGCAGATACCCACTTCACATTTTTTTGGATATTTTTTGTGTAATCTAGAATACTGGTGCGACATTTTTTGTAAGACGTATTAATGTCGATAATTTGCAATATATTTTCAGCATGCGAATGCTTTAAACATCTCCAAAAACCTTAGTAAGTGCTTTAAAAGATAATTGTAGATAATTTAAAAACTTTAAGTTTTTTTTATGGGTTAAGCTCATTCAACTATGTACACTCTACACTATTTTTTTTTCGTCAAATTTAAAATGTTATACCTATTTCTCTTACTTTTAGCTCTAATTTCAAGACTTTTTTAGCAAACTGTTTATAAATGTATCAACGTCAATTCATAAACTCAGTTTTTTTTTTATAAATTTTAGTATTTGGCTTATTATACAGTTAATTGAAGGGTTGTTTTTTATCCTAACTTTAAAACACCCTGTGCAATAACTTCGTGAGTAACTGTTCCTAAAACATTATTTTTCGATCGGAACCATGTCTTCTGAGCATTTTGTTTTTTGACTCATTTCAACACAATTATGCCTTGGTTAATTTTTAAGAGCGAAATAAACTTGCCACCAAAAATTTGTAATTTTTTCAACTATCATTACTTTATGACGTTATTTTTTAATATTACGATGTGGCTTTGGTGACTATTGTTATAATGTCATATCGACACTAATTAGTACTCTATATTAAAATTTAAAAAAATGTTAAAAAGTAACGATACAGGCTTGGTTTTAATCGTTTTAATAAATATTAGTCTCACTTACAGAACTAACCATATTAAAAAAAAATAACTGTAATATCCAAGTGTACAAACAAACAAAAAACTTACCCTGATACAAAAAAATACTCTAATACTTTGTATTAGAGTATTTTGTAGACGTCGGTCGGTTCATACTGTTAATGAGGCTGCAAATATATTGTGTCTTATGAATAAAAGTTAAGCAAATGCTTTTACTTAAATTTCTTGAAATAGACTTATAAAATTTGTAAACAACCAACAAAGATAGCAGGTTCTATAGAAAAAGCAATTGCTTCTCTTTATTCATCAGGCCTATTGTGTTATGTTTTCCCATTCTCCTTCAAGAAGATCTTCAACATACGTGACTTTTGCAATATCTTTGACACTAAGAACCATATTCAATCGTACACGACAATAATCATCATAGCCATATCGTCATTATGAAGAATAACATCAAAAAGTAAGGATAATAATATACAGGGTTGTTCACCACATACGACACGGAGTATTGTAGCTAAATTATTAGATTTTTACAAATTGTAAGTTTTGGGTTCGTTGAAGGACTATTAGAGCTACAATTTAAAAATATTTTTACAAGATACAGAGTGTCCCAAATAAATAAAAAATATCAAAGTTGTATTTTTTTGAATGGAACACCCTGTATATTATTACATTTTTAGTTTCTACGATTAAAATAAAGGTAAATTTGATTAAGGTTTATTACACTTAAACCTTACCGTTCTTGAAATATTTTCAATTTTGTGAAATTGCAGCTTCATTTCTCCAAGGGTAACAAAGTTTTTAATACGAAATATTTACTGAAGTTTATTTATTGATCAGTTATTGTGTTGCAATAATAAAAATTATACTACCTTATAGAGAGGGTCTAAAATTTTATTTTAAATAATTACTAGCTTTAAACGGCAATAACTTGTTTAATTTAAATAGAACGCCCTGTATATTTTAGGAGAATCAGATGCATAATTTAATTGTCTATCAAATTGTATTATACCACTTTTTACCCATCCCTTCAAGATTTCGTAGAAAATGCATTTTCTTATAATTTAGACCTCATTTATCAATATACCCATGGAATATTGACATTTTAAATTGTTTTTAAAGCAACAAATGTATAAAATGTACGGGCTTGTAATATTATCGTTTTTAGCAAAATGATAATATTACTAGCCCATTTGTATGCAAAAAGAAACTATTTAAATCTTTATAAAAGAATATACCATTAATTAAATATACCACCATTATTTCCGCCCAAATACTAATTAATTACATACTTAATTATGTTCGTTAATAAATTATTCTAAATAAATGTGGATTTGGAATCAGAAATCAATATAATAATAAGTTATAAAAATGGATGTCTCTGTTGTTATAAATAAGCATTTGCCAAAAATGAAATATCATTTTTAAAGTGTTACTTTTTACCACACTGTCTAATACACATAAAAAATTAAGTTTTTTAATATTTGGACCAATTATTATTAATCAACGCAAACAGTCAATTAATGTAGTTTGAATACTGGAATCATATTAATTGGTCTTCTATAACAAATATTTAAACAGTTTTTTTTTATTTTTTAATGAAATAAACAAACTATATCGACAATATTAGTATCTGTACTCTTTAAAAATATGGTACATCTTTAAAAATAATCTAAAATGTCAGCATTCCATTAATGAATTTAAAATTACAAGAAAATTCATTTTCTACGGAAACTTGAAGCGATAGGTAAAAAATGGTGTAATACAATTTGATAGACAATTAAATTGTGCATCTGAGTCTCATAAAATATACAGGGTGTTCTATTTAAATTAAACAAGTTATTGCCGTTTAAAACTAGTAATTATTTAAAATAAAATTTTAGACACTCTGTATAAGGTAGTATAATTTTTATTATTGCAACACAATAACTGATCAATAAGTAAACTTCAGTAAATATTTAGTATTAAAAACTTTGATACCCTTGGAGAAATGAAGCCTTAAAATATTGACTTCAATTTTACAAAATTGAAAATATTTCAAAAACGGTAAGGTTTAAGTGTAATTGCAAAACAGCAATAAAAGTTCAACATCTGTTTACTAACGAGATACTCATCCAAACAGGAATAAGACAAGGTGACTCCCTCAGCCCATTTATATTTAACTTAATCATGGATCAAATAATAGAAAATCTACCAAAAACGGCAGGTTACAAAATGGGAAACACCTTCTTCCACGTTGTATGCTACGCTGATGATGCAGTACTCATTGCAGATACAGAGGACAATCTTCAGAGACTACTACATGCGTTTAATCTAAAGGCCAAACAATTAAACATGATAATCAACACCGAAAAAACAAAATGCCTGGTAACATCCAAGGAGGCGGTAAGGTGCAAACTGGAAGTGGACTCAAAACTGATCGAACAAGTGAATCACTTTCAGTATCTAGGGGTTGGAATATCAAGTTATGGCAACCTGCAGAAAGAAGTTAGAGAACACACTATGAAGGCGTCTCGCATTTCGGGCTGTTTAAATGACATCGTCTGGAGGAACAAGTATCTCAACACAGAGAGCAAGATTAGAATATATAAAGCCGCGATAAGACCAGTCATCACGTACGCAGCCGAAACAAGACCAGACACGGCCAAAACAATGCAAATGATGAGAACAACAGAAATGAAGGTGCTGAGAAGCATACACGGAAAAACACTACATGATAGAGCGAGAAACGAAGATATTAGAGAGTGGAGCAAAATCCAGGATATAGGAAGATGGGTTAGACAAAGGAGAAGGCACTGGAACAAACACGTAAGAAGAATGGACGACAACAGACTAGCAAAAAAAGCGCAACAAAACAACCCAATTGGAAAAAGGTCGCAAGGAAGGCCGCCAAAACGGTGGAGAGAATGCTGGACGTCGTCCTCCGGGGAAGACTTGTTAGGATTGAACAGGCGATAGCCTACCTATATGGGCAACCATAATAGAAAGAAAGAAGAAGAAGAAGCTCTAATAGTCCTTCAACAAACCCAAAACTTACAATTTGTAAAAATCTAATCGTTTAGCTACAATACTCCGTGTCGTATGTGGTGAACAACCCTGTATATCCTTACTTTTTGATGTTATTCTAAATAATTGTTGCCACAAACATTGCAAAATGTTTGTGGTAAATTCATTTTGCTCTTCAACATCAACCAAGGCATGTGTTGACGTGAGTTAAAAACAAAATATTCAGGAGACATGGTTCTGATCGAAAAATAATATTTTAGGAAACTGTGCTCACGAAATTATTGCACCAGGGTGTTTTAAATATAGAGTAAAAACAACTTTTCGATTAACCCTTTATAATATAAACTGAGTTTACGATTTAAGGTTGATATATTTATATACTGCTAAAATAAACTTCTAAATAAAATAACTGTTCTTTACACATAGTGTTTAAATGAAAGTAATTAAGTTTTCAGTCTGGATTCTAGATGATCTTTGTAACACTTCTGTGAATTATATAGTTTGCCTATCAGGAGAAGGATCCGTGACAGTGACAGTTGTGTCTGGCATTTTAATACAGACACAACTGTCACACAGATGTTTTTCTGTCATTTTTTAGATATCGTCTGTCGAAATATTCCCTGCATCGTCGGACAAACCATATAATTTATCCAATTTAAACACTTTAATTGATGACGTAATACGACTGCTGTTTGCATCTCAAGGTAATTAGCGGGAACATGAACTAATTACTTTCATTTTTTATGTGAGGTGCATGCTATAATTAGTTAGAACCGACCGCACCAGTATTTAAATTAGTATGTCAATATGTCCACCAACCATGTTATCAAAAGATCAGCTTATTAACAGAAAAAAAAACAAATGTTATTAATGTTTCCTTTTAGTTTTAGTATGGGTAAATTATTGATAGTTTATTAAAAAAAATGATAAAAAAACGACTGAAAATCTTCTAGTTGTATATGTATTAAAAAGTGAAAGAAGATAATATGTAGATATTTTTTGTTACCGTCATTCATATCACTGTCCAATTTGTTTGATATTTTAGTAGCATTCCAATTTATCTACAGGGTGGTCCGAATTGTAATCGAGAAACTTTGGCAGCATAATATATTGATGAAAATTGGTAAAAAAGTTTGTATAAATTTTTATCCTAAAATGCTTCGTTTTGGGAGATACAGGGTGTGGAAGTTTCATTTTTATTTCGATTTTTTCCAAATAATTTCTGAAGTAATGTCAATATTTGGATAAAAATTGGTGTCTGGGTATTTTTTTACATGAAAACTTTGATTTTGATGTCAATATGACTACAACCTACATATTTTTTAATTGGTTTTAAGACTAATATCTTTTCCTATGTACCTGTATAAAACTACTGCGTGAAAACGACTACAACTAACCGTTTTCACGACATTTAGAATGGACATTATCAATACATGTCATTATTGACAAAAATAAATATGTTGACTAGATAGTTATTTGACTACAATGGTAAATATGTGAACTTTTTATTTTTTTAAATTAGTTCATCAATTTCTCTAGAAAAAATTATGATGAAACAGTTTCTGTTCAACTTGTGACTCAACAAACATTTCAAATTTATCATTTCAGTCTAATAACTATCTTGTCATCATGTTCAATTTTTGTCAATGATGATTGTATTGATTATTTCGATTCCAAATATCTGGAAAACTATTACTCATAGCAATTTTTGGCAAGAGACTTTTTTGTTGACTTATACAGGTACTGGCGAAAAGTTATTACTCTTCAATCGTCGTTAGTTGAAAACAATTATCCGAACTTTTTTACTTATTTTTATCTGCAGAATATGCTGCCGAAGTTTCCCGAATACAATTCGGACCACCCTGTAGATACAAAAAAAAAGAACGAACGACTTTTATCTATTAAATCCGTATGTGTTTAATAGAAATATCTATAATGGCTAAAATAGTTTCAAAGGTATTTTCTCTATAGGCAAACAAGTGTCAAATATTTAGATATATTTTCAGATTTGTAATCCAGTAATATTTGTATATCAAATGTGCTACGTAAAAAATACTCTGTAAAGGAAAATCCTTGCCCAAAACCCAACACGACATATTTTTTGCATTATTTTTTCCGAATGTATAATAGTAGATATTTGAAATCTTCGAAATTTGACAATATGGATCTGATTGTTTGAATCTTCTTTTGGGCGTTGATTTTCTTCCTAGCGCAGACTATAAGTACTCTAGCGACTTAACGGGGTAAAACCTACTAGGTACATTCTGTTTATGGCTACTCTACACCAAAGAAAATATCTCTATCACTGTGTATATATAAAAATAAAAATAGGTCGGTCGGAGCCGTATGTGTAGGCTCCGGTCGATGTCGAAAAAAATATGTGAATATGTAAAAAATATCGCTAAAAATATATATAATGTACAGCTAGTCATAGTCAAAATACGCTTATAAAGTATAATAAAACGTGTTACTGTTTTTATAGAATATAAAATCGTTTTACTTAAGTCCTTTACCCAAAATATTCTAAATATAGAGGCAATCCATATCAGCTCCTGGGTGGTGAATATAAATTAGTAATAATTAATTTATAAATCTTGAAATAAACTGGGTGATACTGAAATCGATTCAGAGACTATTATTTGATTGCTTTTTGTTGAATATTATTGAAATTTGTGTGTCAAATATATAGTACAGTAAAAGCCTTGTTTATACAGGGTCCGGCAATAGTGCGTCGGGCATCTGTAGCTCCTAAAATAAAAAACTTGGGAATTTTGTTTAAGTGCAAACCTAAAGTATGTACTAGGATGTATTTCAGGAAAATATTTTAACTTCTATAGGGTGGCTCAAAAAAGTGAGAGTGGATCGGCATGATTTTTTTTAAATGGAACACCCTGTATATTATTGCATTTTTGGCTTCCTGTTAGATTACTTTACATAATCCTAAGACATGAGTAAATATATTTCGAATATTTCAGAGAAAATAAAAATTATATATTTTTTAGCCTTTTTCTTAAAAAAATTATTAATAATACAAGAACTGTCCTGAAATCAAAACTATATTAGATATTTACTTTAGATGGTCTGTACTTACTTTACTATAAATATGGAAATCGTAAATCATATAGGATGTTCAAAATTCTGCGCCAAACTTTCTAAAATATAAAATAATTTTTCTTTGTTTTTTTTAAATGGAACACCCTGTATATTATTTTTTCAATAGATGGAGAATTAAAAAATGAACATTTTTTGCATTTAGAGTATTTCAAAATTTTTAACAATTTTGCAGATATTCCCGGTTTTGTATTTCATACGGCATTTTCCACAGTAAATTTTTATCAAAGCCACCCAATGATTTTTCTCTCGTATTTTACCATTGAAAGCGCCATATGAATAATACTGCGTGTATCCGGAGAAAACTATTAAAATTTTTTGAAATACTTTAAATACAAAAATGTTCATTTTTTAATTATCTATCAAATAAAAAAGGGCCATACGAGTGCGTTTCGTTTTTAGACAGGAACTGAAAAATGGGTCAGCTCTTGGAGTTATGTAGAGAATGATCTGAGGAAGCGAAAATGCAATAATGGTGTTCCATTTAAAAACATTCAGTCCACTCACAGCCACTAGGGGCCAAATATTTTCCGAAGCCAATCCTCACTTTGGGTTTATAATTAAACAAAATTCTCAATTTATTCTGATGCCAGTATATATTCTTAAAAGTTGATCAACCGACTAGACAATGTGCTGCCAACTGGAGGACAAATCGTGAACCTTTCGGGGCGGAGTCAAAAATATCGATTATTTTCGTTATTTTCCTCAGAGTAATGTAATAAAATAGCCCGGGTTTCTGCGAACTTTAATAGTGATCAGTTGATTAAGAAATTTAAACGAAACTTATTTTATTGTAAATTGTGGATTATTTTTGCCTGTTATTTTAAGAATTCTAAACCGTATTAACAAAGAAATTATTATTTCGATATGTTGGTACATTATTTATAATTTATGATAATGCTAATTAGCTGTTAATTAATATATAAAAAAAGTTACCTATTTTAATTTGATTTAATGTAGGTTTATAAAAGAATCATTTCATTTTTTTTAAAACATAAAACTTTTTACATTTTTGGTGCCAACTAACTGGCATGGTATTATTGGTATGGAAATTAGCCAAGAAAGAAAAGAATTGGCTATAACTTGTAATTTTTCGAAAAAAACATATTATACCTATATCGCTGAAAAGCTTAAAAATGGCGCTTTTTTATGAAGTCATGGCCAACTATGGTTTCCATTTAAAAAAAAATATAATGTTTGTGTCATATGTCAAAAATGACAGGCTTTAGGAAAAAAAAACAGAAAACACAAACTCATTAGGTAGGTATGTGATTATCTACAACTTTTATCTGAAAACTTTTTGTCTAAAATATCGTATGATCGAATAAAAATGGCGTCAGCGATGGCTATGAAATGACGATCGATGATATTTCCCATATAATTTTACATATAAAATGACAGCGATCTTCATTTCATAGCCATCGTTGACGCCGTTTTTATTCGATCATACGGTAGATTATAATGGAATTAGAGACAAGTTTTAAAATAGCCAAAATTTGTTTTTTTCGAAATATCTAGTAAGCCTTGAACTTCTCCGAAAAATCCGAAAGGCGCATATTTATGACCCCACAAAACTGCAATTCTTTCCCCATTTAACCGACTCTCTGTCTCCAGTAGTTTCCGAGATACCCATAGCGAACATCGTAGGAAACTCACCCTGTATAGTATTTAGAAAGTAACTATTATTATTATTTGACTAGATTAATTTGATTAATAAGACTCGATTAATTTATTTTAAAATAAATTTGATCAGATTTTTTTTTCGTATATTCTACTACCAAAAAAACAAAATTATATGATAACGCACTTTTCAACGAAGTTGAAGGAAGATATAGTGTATC